GCCACACAAAATCTTAAATGGACGCCGGCAGGCAGTGCTCACTTGCCTTAATCTTAGCACTTTGGAGGGCGCAGGTGGGTGGTCGCCTGAGATCAGGAGTTTGGGAGCTAGCAGCCTGGCCAATGTGTTGAAACCCCATCTCTACTAAAATACAAAATTAGCAGGTGTGGGGGCAGCGCCTGTAATCCCCAGCTATCTGGGAGGCTGAGGCAGGAGAATCGCTTGACACGGGAGGCAGAGGTTTACAGGGAGGTGGAGGGTGCGTGACCTGAGATCGCGCCATTGCCCTCAGCCTGGGCGACAGAGCAGACTCTGTCTCAAAAAAAAAAAAAAAAAACCTAAGTGGAGAGTGCTCTTGGAGCAGGGTTTCCAGCCTTTCAGAGGAAAGCTGCAAAACACTGAAAGCTTTCAAACTTTGGGATCTTCAGCTCTTACAGAAGCATCTAAGTCAGATGTGGTGGTGCACACCTGTAATCCCAGCTACTTGGGAGGATCCCTTGAGCCCAGAAGTCCAAGGTCAAGCCTAGGAAACGTGGCAAGACTTGTCTCTTAAAAAAAAAAAAAAAAAAAAAAATTGTAGGTTGGGTGCGGTGGCTCACGCCTGTAATGCCAGCACTTTGGAAGACCAAGGCAGGTAGATCACTTGAGGTCAGGGGTTCGAGACCAACCTGGCCAACATGGTGAAACCCCCTCTCTACCAAAAATACAAAAATTAGCGGGACATGGTGGTGCGCACCTATAATCCCAGCTACTTAGGAGGCTAAGGTGGGAGAATCACTTTAACCCTGGGGGTGGGGAGCTGCAGTGAGCAGAGATTGTGCCACTGCGTTTCAGCCTGGGCAACAGAGTGAATCTCTGTCTCAACAAAAACAAAAACAAAACAAAACATAAATTCTGACTATTCCTTTCCTAGGGATTCTCCAGCATCCTGACTCTCCAACAGCACTGGGCTTTCACAAGGACAAATAATATGCAAAACTTTTTAGGAGTCTACTTATGATAATTTCCTTAAATTAACATCACAAAGCAATGGAAATTGCATCCCCCTAAGGCTTCTTATGGCAGGAAGTTACCCAGCGCCTGACTGAAAAGGTAGTGACGATTAAAATTAGGTTGGTTAGCTTCTGTCTTGCAAAGCTTGTCTGTTAATCCATTACTTGTATTCATATAAAATGGCATTTCTATATCAAAATGCGTGAATGTTTTAATCTGTTGTAAATATAAGCTTTTTTTTTTCTGTTCAATCAGACAAGTCTTTCCTCTGCCAGAAACCTTAAAACTGGTATTCTTAAAACAGTACTCTACTAGCTGCTTTTACTTTACTGGATGGATATTCAGCGTTCAGATCACAGAAAGTCAGTCCTTCACTATTTTGCTAGCCTCAGGCCATACCAGGAGAACTTCAGTGTGAGTGTCTTATTTTAAGCCTATCATCGGTGAACTAAAGTGCTCACAGGAAGATGGAGGAGGAGAACTGCAGATCAGGTTACTGGAGGAGCAGAGAATGCATTTCCAGAAGCCCTGTAATGTCTTCAGACCTTTGAAGGCTGTTTTGTAGAAGATGGCTTGTTCTTCCTTAATTTTCAAGGCAAGCATAGGGCCAAAGAGTGAGAGCTATATAAAGCTGGATTTCATCTTTAAATGGAAGACCTTTAAACGATTAGAGCTGTGTGAAAGATACACAAATTTTCTTGGATTGAACTGAGCTCCTAAGTCATTGGGAGAATTCAAAAGAATGGTCATCTCACAGGTCTACAATAAATGAATGATTGAACATGATTGAATATTTTACATGATTACTTTATAATTAAATATATATATATGAACACAGTCATTTGTTTTTAGAAAGCTTTGAAAATGTTTAAGCAAACTTAAACATTTTTATTTTATTTTATTTTTATTAAATAGAGACTTATTTTATTTTTATTAAATAGGGTCTCACTGTGTTGCCCAGGCTGGTCTCAAAACTCCTGAACTCAAGCAATCCTCCCACCTCACCCTCCTAATAAGCAAACTCTTGTTATTCTGACCACTAGTTTGTAGAATAGAGCCATGTGGCTAATCATCTTAATCCCACTTGGGTTTTTGAAACCCTTTGCCTGGCTGGCTGTTGTTGACACTGTGTAGGGGCAAAGAAGGAAAGCTTCTGCCTTTACCTTCTTAAGGTTCACTGAAAATGACAAAAGGCAGGTAGGAGAAAAAGGCATACAAATTTATTTAAAATGCAGAGCACAGGGGAACTGCATGAGAATGATTACCCAATAACCCAATGAGGCCTAGAGGTTTATAGACCCTTCATGGAGGAAGGAGAGATGAGGGTGTAGGAGTGAAAGATTTTTAGCGGGAAATGAATGGACCCAGAGGCAGACTTTATCTTGTGAATGATTTTCTGGCAATTTAATGGGGCGGGAGAACAAACAATGGTTTGGGAAGAAGTTTGTCTGGGCTGTAGCTATGGTGTTTAATGTTCAGTCTCTTCCTCTGTGATAGAAGTTTTAATTTTCTCTGGTTAATGAAATTTCAGGGAAGGGATAAAAGGCAATTGTGTTCCTCTTTGGGGGTCCAGTTTCTAGGTAGATAAGGGAACTTCAGCGAACAGCTTCATTCGGTGCTTTGGGAGAGACGGGATCAGAGAGAAAGGGAGGTAGGGGGAAGTCAGAGGGAGACCCTAGACTGAGGCTTATTTCCGAGGCCTTTCAATTTTCAAAGCACTCAGCATGCTGAAGCATCATATTTTGCGGTATGGCTTTCTGTGCTCCAACATCTGCTCAAAAAAAGGAATAATTAATGTCAAAACAATAAAAATGCTTTATATTTGTATTCTTCTGTATTTGTACATACCCAGATTTTAGCTGTTTCTCTTTTACTGTATAAATTTATGTATTTCCAAATTACATATTTATATATTCCAGAGATGATTTTAGCTTTCAGGAGGACTCATCTGTTTCCTTAGTCTTAATTATATTAACACCAAAGGATAGCTTCCTAAGCATAAAAGGGAGAAAATTATTCCATTCCTACCTTTAGTCACTGGTGATAGAGATCACTCCACAATTGAAGAACAAAATCCTCCTCTGAGAGTGAAACTTTTAAATAAAGCACATTGTAGACAAGATTAAGCAACTATGTAAGAAATTTGCCTAAAGAGATAGTTTTTTCCATAAAAAGCAAAAGATAGTGAAATGGATGTCATCTCACTCCTGAATTTAGCTAAATTGAGGTCACTTCTCATCCTGCCCTGCCCCCTCTCAGAAGGAAGAATGCAGCCCAGGGATAGTGATAGCCTACAGAAGCCTTGGGCTCAGCTCCTAAGCCCTAAGGGACAGATGGAGAAAGGAGGACCAGACGGAGGGGAAAGAGGTGGGGGAGGCGGGGTGCGCTGCTGCAGGTGGCAGGGCAAGACCTGCACTCCCTTAAGTATGTATGCTTCTAGGCTCGCAGAGACTGGCCAGGGGCTGGTTGGCATCACACCATGCACATCTGTACTAGGTACCAAATCACCACTCATCCTTGACCAGAATATTTAGTCAGTTAGTTGTGAATATTAATTGCAGAAGAACTTTCTGGTTTCATGTCTCTCTTTGGTCACAGTCCTAGCTTGCGGGGTTAGAGAAAAAAGAGTCCACTTTTTAGGGTTCCAGATTTAGCAAACAAATAGAATATAAAAATACAAGAGGATGAGTTAAATTTGAATCTCAGAAAAATAATAAATAACTTTTTAGTGTAAGCATATCCTAAATATATTTCATCTGGCAACTCTATCATATTTTCCAATCAAGAGTTAAGCCTTGGGGCCAGGCATGGTGGCACACACCTGTAATCCCAATACTTTTGGAAGGTTGAGGTGGGCAGATCACTTGAGGTCAGGAGTTCGGGACCAGTCTGGCCAACATGGTGAAACCTCCTTTCTACTAAAAATACACACAAAAAAATTAGCCAGGTGTGGTGGCACGTGCCTGTAATCCAGCTACTCAGGAGGCTGAGGCAGGAGAATTTCTTGAACCAAGGAGGAGGAGGTTGCAGTCAGCTGAGATCACACCACTGCACCCCAGCCTGGGCAAAAGGGCAAAAGAGTGAGCCTCTGTCTTAAAAAAAAAAAAAAGAAAGAAAGAAAGAAAGAAGATAAAGAGAAAGAGAAAAGTCAGCAGAATGGAAATAAATCAGAGATGTAAGTAATCAATGACTAACATTTTTTGCTATTTTGTTTTTCTCAATTTAAATTTAAATTTTTTTCTTTTAAAAATTACCTTTTATTTTTGTGAAAATAATGTAAATACGCACAAAAATTAAAAAGTCAAAAGGAACTGGGCACAGTGGCTCATGTGGGTTATACCAGCACTTTGGGAGGCCAAGGAGGGAAGATCACGTGAGGCCAAGGGTTCTAGACCAGCCTGGGCAACATAGTGAGATCTTGTCTCTAAAAAAAAAAATTAGCTGGACATGGCAGCGTGCACCTGCAGGCTTAGCTACTTCAGAAACTGAGGTGGGAGGATTATATGAGCCCAAATGTTCAAGGTTGCCGTGAGCTATGATCCTACCTCTGCACTTTAGCCTGGGTGACAGAGTGAGAACCCAACTTAAAAAAAAAAGTCAAAAGTACTGAAAGGTATATAATGAAAAATAGCAGTGCACTGTTCTACCCAATCCCACTCAATCCCATCCTTCCTCTGATTGCCAGAGGTAGCCAGTTCATCCTTTTCCGTTGTTTTTCCCAGTTTTAACTGCCTCCCATCTTCCTAAAAATGCCTATACTGCTATTTTGTTGATTTGTCAGTTTTGGACATTACCTACTTTCTTTTTCTTTTTTTTTTGAGATGAGTCTTGCTCTGTTGCCCAGGCTGGAGTGCAGTGGCACCATCTCCGCTCACAGCAACCTCCGCCTCCCGGGTTCAAGCAATTCTCCTGCCTCAGCCTCCCGAGTAGCTGAGACTACAGGCACGCGCCACCATGCCTAATTTTTGTATTTTTAGTAGAGACGGGGTTTCACCATGTTGGCCAAGATGGTCTCAATCTCTTGACCTCGTGATTGGCCCGCCTCGGGCTCCCAAACTGCTGGGATTACAGGTGTGAGCCATTGCACCCAGCCTGAAAACATCTTTTTACTGTACCATTCCTCTTGACTAATGGTTTGGGTTTAGATCTCTAGGCTGTAAGTCATTCTCACTCAGAATTCTGAAGGGCCTCGCTCCATTCTGCTCCAGCTTCCAGCACTGCTGCTGAGAAACCTACTCCCATTCTCATTCCTGATCCTTTGGAGTCACCTGTTTTCTTTCTGGATCCTTTTAGGGTCTTTTCTTTATCCCTGGTTTTCTGCCAGTTCATGGAAATGAACCTTGAGATATAAATCTTATTTTATCTCCCTGAGGATTTTATAGCATTTAAAAAAGTTTTCTTCTTCTCTCTGATCATATTAAAGGACTATGTGCTGAAGAGATGACTAGATGGATGGCCAGCCTGCTTGGGTAAAGCCTGACTAATGGGGGACTTCCCTGCGCAGGGTGGTGGTCCCTGAGCTGCTGTTCCATTGAGGGCCCAAACGCCTGTATCTAAAGGTCTTCCCTTTGAGCCTGCTCAGTTTCTACAGAAAAGGGTTCTTTCATTTTCAGGTGGTGGTTGTGGAGTAGGGGGCAGGTTGGGGTGGGGTGAAGGGGTGAGAAATGTGCCTGGCTCCTAGGTTATCTAGCAGCAGGGTGAGGAAAAGGGGCTGAGAATTTACCTTTTAGTATCTAGATTTTCTTTTGTTCCCCATATTTCCAGTTCTGTGCCCCGTACCTGCTCTTCATAGTACCTGATGTGCTGATCCAAATTCCCCAGGGAGTAAACCTCAGGTCTCCTTCAGGAGTGGGCAGGAGCAGACAGCCCACTGCCCGCCTAGGCCTCTCACCTAGCTCTCAGGCAGGCACCACACTCCTGCCATTCACAGCACCGTCCTCTGTCTCCCAGCAGCTACACCTGCCTCTCTCCTCCCCTCTGCGGAATCAGGCCTCAGCTCCCTCCACGCCTCTGTGTGACTCACCACTCCACTCCTTCCTCTGCTTCCCACCTTCCGAAAATGTGGTGACATCCACGTCTGCTGCTGCCTCCTCTTCTATTCTCAGAGACCTTGTCAGGTTTTTTTTTTTTTTTTTTTTAACTCTTTTTACTCCTGTGTTGCTATCTTTGGTAGAGCTTGGGAGGGAGCAGACAGATTCACAAGAGACTCCTCTGCCATGTTTAACCAGAAGTTCTTTTGTGTAAGTTTTCACTCTGAAGCATTTTCAGGGGACACTTTCCAGGCCCTGTTCTGAAATCTTGCTTTCAGTCAACACAGTTGGTTTTTATTTTGCTTTGTGGTAGATGTTTCTTTATGGGAAGCGGATCAAAGTCTAAATACACACTTTGTTTTTGTTTTTTGTTTTTTTGAGACAGAGTCTTGCTTTGTCGCCAGGCTAGAGTGCAGTGGCACGATCTCGGCTCACTGCAACCTCTGCCTCTCGGGTTCAAGCAATTCTCCTGCCTCAGCCTCCCGAGTAGCTGGGACTACAGGCATGCGCCACTACATCTAGCTAATTTTTGCATTTTTAGTAGAGACGGGGTTTCACCATGTTGGCCAGGCTGGTCTTGATCTCCTGACCTCAGGTGATTCACCTGCCTCGGCCTCCCAAAGTGCTGGAATTACAGGCGTGAGCCACTACGCCCAGCACACACACTTTGTTTAATGGTATTGGTAAAACACTCTTGACCTTTTAAACAATAGCAACAAGACCCAAATATGTCTCTCTGCTTTTGTCTTGGAATGGGGGATGGAAAAGTTGGAGAGGCGCTTGGCAGCACGGCCTTTGCCCCAGTGCTTGACATTCTGGTCAATCTCCTATGCATGAATAAAAAGCAAGCGGAACGCTGAAATATCATCTCCTTTGAATTCACCGTGAGCTCCACTTGTCTGCTCTCCTGTGTTGACACATTACTGCTATTGCATTGCATCTGCTGGTGAATCTCCTTTCATTGCAGGCCACACAAAACCTCCTTCATGTAAAGCTGCACACAAGGCTCCTGAATTATGAGGACACTTTAGCAGTCATTCCTCTTATTGAAGGGCTCACAGTCTTAGGGAAGGATTGCTGCCATTTCAGTGTGCTCTGCTGTGCCCTGCTGCAGAAAGTCCAGACAAACTAAGGCGGGAAAGCTGGGCTGGGAGCCCGTGACAGGGAAAAGTTAGCAGGAGAGTGAGTGGACCAGATGGATAGGGCTTTGAATGCCACACCAGGTCTTTGGATTTTTCTGCAGGCAGTGGGAGCCACCCAAGGATTCTGAGCAGGAGAGTAACATGAGATAAACTGTACTTTCAGAAAATTAAGTTGGCCAGGAGCAGTGGCTCACGCTGTTATACCAGCACTTTGGGAGGCCGAGGCAGGTGGATCACCTGAGGTCAGGAGTTCAAGACCAGCCAGGCCAACATAGCAGAACCCCACCTCTACTAAAAATACAAAAATTAGTCAGGCATAGTGTCAGACGCCTGTAGTCCCAGTTACTTGGGAGGCTGCAGCAGGAGAATTGCTTGAACTCACAAGGTGGAGGTTGCCGTGAGCCAAGATTGCACCACTGCACTGCAGCCTGGGCAACAGAGCGAGACGCTGTCTCAGAAAAAAAAATAAATAAAAATACAAAAATTAGCTGGGTATGGTGGCAGGCATATGTAGTCCCAGCTACTTGGGAGGCCAAGGCAGGAGAATCGCTTGAACACAGGAGCTGGAGGTTGCAGGGAACAGAGGTTGCAGTGAACTGAGATTGTGCCACTGCACTCCAGCCTGGGCAAAAGAGTGAGACCCTGTCTCAAACGAAAAAAAACGACAAAAAAAGGAAAATTAAGTTGATAGCTGTAGGTCAGAAGGTTCAGAGAGGGAGAGGCTAGAGTCCAGGGGACTCTAGATCAGATCACTGGGAGAACTTTGTAAAAATCCACACGCCAGCCTCTGCCCTTCAATATTTTGTTTCAGGTGGTTTGGGGAGGGAACTAGCAATCTGCATTCTCAAAACATTCCACAGTTGCAGAGGTCATTGTGACAGGCCGCTAAAGGGGATCAGACCCCAAATATGAGGCTGGGAGTCTAGGGAGAGAGAGGGGAAATAGACTGGGGAGGCTGCCCTGAGGGGAGCCCCACCTGGCCTCTGCCTGCTTAGGGGGCTGAGGGGAGGAAAACATGAAGAAGACCATCAAATTGGGCCAGGAGAGCTGCCTGGAGACTGGGGCCCAGCCTCCAGCCTTCTGATTTTAGAAGAAAATCAGATTTGGGAGACGACATGGGACATTCCAGGTGACAAAGGGGCCTGGGACTTGGGGGATGGTGAATCTGTGAGCACCTGGCTCCTACTTACAGTCATGGAGTATGTAGAACTGGGAAAGGAAACTGTCATTCACATCCCTCAGTCAAACATACGTAGGCACATGCATGGACACAAACATAGCCCTCTTCTGCAGGAGTCAGAAAGGGTGGTGATTCAGAGACTGGGCTCTGTAATCCAGCAGCCCTGGATTGAAATCCTATCTCTGTGGCTCTGGCTGAGTCACCTGTCCTGTGAGCAACAGCCTCCTCACCTATAGAAAGAAAACGTTGCCAGCAATTAACTCAATATGGCTTTGTGATGACTCGATGAGATGCTGCATGCAGAGGCTGGACACAGTGCCTGACACAAGGGGAGACTCTGTATAGAAGCTCTAAGGGTAATACTAAAAAATGCAATCTGACTTCTGAAGCCAGGGAGCCATAAAGTATTTCATTCAGAGTGCAAGGAGGCAAGTCCACAAGAAGACACGAACCCTTTCTTTTTTTTTTTCTTTTTTTTTTGATATAGAGTTTTGCTCTGTTGCCCAGGCTGGAGTGCAGTGGCATGATTTTGGCTCACTGCAACCTCTGCCTCCCAGGTTCAAGCGATTCTTGTGCTTCAGCCTCCTGAGTAACTGAGCTTACAGGTGCATGCCACCATGCCCGGCTAATATTTTGTATTTTTAGTAGAGATGGGTTTTCACCATGCTGGCCAGGCTGGTCTTGAACTCCTGACCTTAAGTGATCCGCCAGCCTCTGCCTCCCAAAGTGCTGGGATTACAGGTGTGAGCCACCATGCCCAGCCGGCATGAAGCCTTTCATTTGCTGCTACCCATTCCGTATGGCTTTCTCTGGGTGTGTGTTTGGTGAGTCCTTTGCCTTTGGTTTCTAGGACCCATAGAGAAATGACAGACCCTTCCTACTGCATTTAATTGGAAAGGAGCACAGAGACCTGAGATTATAATGATGACGTCTTAAATGTCAAGTGCTTCAAAAGTCTGCTGTTGCACTCACTGTTACCCTGAACAGCTCTGGGAACCAAAACCCTGCAGCCACCTAAAGCATGCCCTGAGTCTCTCAGCCAGGTTTCACCTGGGAAATCTGAGTGACAGTGACGTGCAGGCAGCTGGAAGACGCACAGTAAACCGAGGAGCCTGTGATGAGCTCAGAGGAGGTGAGTTGATGATCTGCTATTTATAGCCCCACTAAGAGGCTCTGGCCGCCAGCTCCATGTGAGGCTGGGTGGAAATGATGCCTTCGCAGAGCTGAGAGCACAAAATGAAATTGGTGATTCATGGGCAGCAGCCACTTGAAAATATGAACACTCCTGCGTCCTCAGCCCCGCTGGCCTTTCACACCCATTTGGAGGTGTGTTAAGCAGAGTTGCTAGCCTGCTGCATCCTAGTCTGCATGTGTTTGGGCAGGATGTGAGGACAGGCAGGTTCTGTCCCGACAAGGAGCCTGCAAAGGGCAGCAGCACCCCGGGAGCACTCTGGGAACCTCCGCCCACCCCCCAGAGGCCTCGGCTGGAACGCAGGGCAGGACTGAGTAAGAGGCAAGCCCCGGGAGGACCTGCGGTCACAGAGAAAGGACACTTCCTGCTCCTGCCCTCTGTCTCCAGGGGCGACGCTGGCAACAGAGCAGCTTTCTGATGACGCTTGTTCTGCTGAACACACAAAAGTGTACAATGAGGAAACCCCTGCAGCTTGACATTTCCCCCCCTACAATTCCACAGCCCAGTACCTGTCACCTGAAATAGCTTTTGTTTATTTTCCTCAGTAACATCTTGGCTTCCAGGCCAAAGTCTTCTTGGAGGACCCAACTCAACTCACCCTATGTGAGGAATGCCCTGGAGGTCTCTCAGTTTCCCACAACCAAACTGAACTTAAAGGGCCAAACCAGGATAAGGAGGCCAGCTGAGCTCTGAAGTCAGGTTGTCTGGGTTCACATTCTTTTTCTACACTTGCAGCCACGTGGCTTCAGTCAAATTGCCCTCTGAGACTCAGTTTTTCTCATTGGTAAAATGAGGATAATTAGAGAACCTACCTCACTGCGCTGTGGTGAAGGGTGACATGTGGATAGTGGTCAGCCCAGCGTCCAGTACATGGACAGACTTGATACTGGACACTGCTGCTGCTGCTTTTGCTGTTGAAGTTGTTTTTACTACTGGGTTTTGGTCCCTGTACTGATAGCACTCCTTTGCACACAGTCTATGGCACTGAGCTTCCTTGCGGAGGTGGTGCCCTGAGGCCTCAATAGAGACCCTCTGCCCAACAAACACACCCCATATCAAGCTGCCAAACATAGTGGACTTCACCCCGGGCATGCTTGACAGGCCTCTGCCTTTGCCTAGGAACCAAGTGCCTTTCCCCTGGGGCTGGGCCTTGCCCGGGTCGACTACCCCGATGCTTCTGCTCCTCTATGTCCTGGGGTGGCCTTGGGGGTATTAACTGTCACCATCTGGTGGAGGGTTTCACCTGAGGGTCCCAGGTGCTAACTTGAGGTCTGTGACCAGCAGGCAGCCCACCAAGGGAGGGCCTGGATGACTGGCCGGATAGGCCCACCTCACCTACGGGCTGCACTTGCAGCACAAACTGCTGATTCATGGAGACTCATGAGGCCTTG